GGGAAAGAGAGAATGAGAAAAAGAAAGCGCTTCTCGGGTATGGCCACGCCTCAGTCCTTTCTCCTCCATCCTCTTCTTGGGATTTTGGGGCATGTATGCACATGCACCCAGCATGTTTTTCAAGCCATGTCAAAATACGTAGGTGCTATGTGGGATTCAACCACCTTAAACACTATGCCACCAGCTGGCCCTTGATTCTTTTGAATAAAATAGTGTTTTCTTTCTACTCTGTGTCCTGACTTGGCCAGTAAGAGATGACCTGACTCAAGTTCTCTGAAGTGTCCTTTATATGTGAAATGAGCTTGTATAGGAAGTAATTATGCTTCTGAGATAAAAATGGTATGGCATCTGTGCAGAGCAGATGGCCTGGTGACCCCAGCTGCCAAATCCCTATAGATGGAGCTCTGGGAAAGGAAGTGTTTAGGACTTCTGGGCAGGGCTGTTTTTGCCAGAGCACTTGTGTAGTATTTCCCACAAGTCTCCTCTCTCTTCTTAGACCTGAAGACATGAATCCTCCTTTTTAAGGGTAATGGATGACCCTGATTTGCTGTAGGAAGGGTACTCACCATTGTTTTCCTGGCTCCAGTCCAAACCTGAGAGCATACACATAGTGCCAGGGCGAGGACTGCTGGTGGCAAGGGGAAGAAGCTGGACTTTGACGTTGAGTGTGGCAGGTTTAGCCAGCTTAATGAGCATGATGTCATCCTGCGGGGCGCTGTCACTGTAGTTCCAGTAGCGGATAATCTGGATGGGGTTAATTGTCTGCTCTGTCCCATCTCTGACTCTGCTCTTGAAATTTCCCAGCATCAGTTTCAGGTTTCTAGGGGGAGAAGAGTTGGGCATAATCACCACCATCATCACTATGACAGTGAGTGTCCAGGTGTGCCTGGCACTGTGCCAAGCGCTTTATCTGGATCGTCTCATATACTTCTGGCAAATCCATGCCGTGGATTCTATGTTATTCTCATTTTATGGAGGAAGTAATGAGGCACAGAAGAGTACATCACCCATGGTCATACAGTAAGTGGTAGAGCTTTTATCCATTCTGTTTTAATACAGTGGAGAGGAAAATGATACAGGGCAAGGAAGTATAATTTTCATTTTGCTCCAGCTTCAGCCTGTTCAGCTGGGCAATTTCCTTTCTGATCAAGACAGAAGGAGATGACATGATTCTGTTTCTCAACAGTAGCACTATTGGCATTTTGGGTGGATAGGTCTTTACCGTGGGTGACCACGTCATGCATTGTGAGGTGTTTAGCAGCACCCTTGCTTTGACCTGCTGATGCCAGTAGCACCTCCATGCCAGCTGTGGCAATCAAAATTATCTTCAGACCTTGCCAAATGTACCCCAGAGGTAGGTTGCCCGTTTGAGAACCACTAACCTAGAATGAGTAGTAACTGATTCAGGGAGTGGAGTTGCCCAGTACTCACGGTAAGTAGCAGTGAGCAGGGGCCAACACCCAGTTGATTTTGATGAGGACACCCACACAAGGATTGAAGTGAGACTTGAGGTATACCAAATAGGGAGCATGGTCTTCTTTCTGCACAGCTGAATGAACAAAGAAAAATGTCCCTGGAAAAAAATTAATACTTTAATTTTTAAAAATATAAATGTTAGGTCAGAGAAGACAATACTTTTCTAGTTTAAAAGGAATATAAATACCTTTTAAAAATTGGCCAGGGAGTGTGAATGTATTTGAAAATTTTTCTTAAGAAAATTATAAATTTAAATGACATGACATTTTATTTAATATTTATAATTATCATTTTGTTTAATATTAATAATATTTTAAGAAAGAGTATAATGAGAAAGACTTATTCATTGTTTATAAATTGATTGTCTTTTTGAAAATCAATCTAGAAACAAGCATTAAGAATTACAAATTGTTCATAATCTGTACCTAATTATTGCAATACCAAGAATCCATTCTAAAGAAATAACCAGAGATAGACAAAAATTATGAATAAATGTGCTCACCTTAACTTTGCTTATAATAGCTGAATATTCAAAACATAAATATCAGATATAGTAATGTCATGTTGAAATAAAGAAGCACATAAACAAGTATAACATCATATATATTAAAAGTTGTATTTAAAAAGAGTACTAAATAGCAAAGAAAATATTAATAGCTCTTTAAATTAAAAATACAAATGTATGTATAATCTAATCGAATTGTTTAAAAACAAGTCAATAAAAAAGAAACCATTTAGGGGACCAGTAGGTGGTAGTTAAGGTACTGGACACCCCCACATGGCTGACCACGGTTCAAGTCCCAGACCTGGTAGCTTGCTTTCTTACTTTCTCTCTCTCTCTCTCTGTGTCTCTCTCTGGTCAAATTAAAATAAATGAATGAATAAATAAATAAGTAAATAAATAATTAAAAAATAAACCATTTAAATGAAAAAATATGCAAAGTCTGGAAGTTACTTCAAAGTGTTAGCATGTGTTGACTAAGGTAGAATTATAAATTATGTTTATTTTTTCTACTTAAAAAATTTCCAAATAATATAATATGAACATAAGATGTTTTTGTAAATGAATTATTAAAAGAAAACCTATAGAATAAAAGAAAGGAAGGCTTGGGGACCAGCAGATGGCAGAAGGGCTATGTTGCTGGCCTCCCATGTAGTTGACCACGGTTCAAATCCTGGACCCGGTGGCTTCAACTTACGCCAGGTGTGTATGCATGCATGCCCAAGATCATGAGAGGAGAATGGAAGAAAAGGGACTATGGCATGGCCATCCCCCCCTGGGGGATGATTTCTTTCTTTTTGTCTCTCTCTATCTTTCTGGCAAGTACACACGCCCTACAGCAAAAATCTCTCAAAAAAAAAAAAAAAAGAAAAAAGGACTAAAAAAGAAAGGAAGGCTGATTTTGGTATCAGAAAGAAAGTACTATTCTTGTGGCTGTTTTTGGTACTTTCATGAATCTTCTACAAGCTTGGGCTTCTACTACCTTACCACACTCCTCTGTGTGATCATAGTTATAGAAACCCCAAGGGGAAGAGAGTAGATTATTAATAAAGAGTAAAAGACATTGCATTCTATATGAAGCACTGGTGTTTGTTTGTTTGTTTGTTTTGCTATAGGGTGTGTGCACTCACCTGATAGAGACAGAGAGAAACAGAGAAAGGGAAAGTGAGAAAGCACCTCTGAAGGGAGATGGTCACACCACAATCCCTTCTTCTCCATTTTCCCCTTGGGATTTTAAGCATGCTTACACACATGCCTGGCATAATTTTTCAAGCTTCTGGCTCTGGAACTTGAACTGAAGTCAGAGTCTAGCACCTTAATTACTATACCACTTGCTGGCCCAGATGACACTGTTTTAAGTGCTGTATATGGATTTATCTTATCTTCACAGCAAGTATATAATGTAGGTATGATACTCCCATTTTGAAGAAACTAAAGCACAGATGAATTTAACCAGTCTCACACCTACATTGCCAATATGTGATGTAACCTAGGTAGTCAAGAAGTGAGTGCCTCACCAACAAATCCTGCCATCAGAAGAACTTCATAGAAGGCAGGGACTGCAGGAGGTAGTGCCCTAATTACCTTTTGGCCCCACTGTCTACATTTCCAGCATTCTGAGTCTTTAAAGTTTTGGAAAAGGGAGAATATCAGAGGTCAAAATTAGTTCTCTTTCCTTCAGACTGTAGAGAGACTCACCCAGAGAGTGATGAGGCTCACATTTTGGAATAAAAAGGGGGACTATTTACCATTAAGCATTCTCCAAGGCAGGTATACACCATAGCCCATTCCGTAGCTCAGCATTGAAAGGGTGGGCTCATGTTTTTTGAGAGTCTTTGATGGGGTCCAAGATGGGAGACCTTATAATTCTGCTTATGACAGTGCTTGACTCTTCTGTTCCCCTATACATCCTACCTCTGCCCCTACTCCATCCCACATTAACCTGTAACTTAGAGGACAGACTAGAAACTTTTGGATACATACCAGCAAGGACACTCAAGTAGAAGATAAATTTCATGATGATCCAGACCTTTCCCTACGAGATGTAGAAGAAGATCCACAGAGTATTAAGCCCTCAGCTCCGTTATCGCCTTAGGAATACCTAGTAGAATCAATGGATATGGTTAGGTATCGGGGCACCCAGTGGGATTGAAAAGTAGCTCTGGGCATAAACAGGGAAAGGAGATGGCTTCAAATGGAAGCCCTTTTGCTCTAGGAAAGATGGTGGACTGTGTCTCTATTGAGGCCTTCCAGGAAAAGAAAAAGAAGCCTAAGTCAGACTCTTGGATCTAGGTCTCTGTATCTGCTGCCCCTCAAAGGTTATCTGCTTGACAGTAATTTAGTTGTCTATGGATGAGGAAGCTCCAGGTATAGGATTTATCTTCTCCAAAGATTTTCGGAGACCAGGGTTTGGGAGACAAGATTCTCACCTTTGGTCAGGGAGACAGTTTCCCCAAGGTTTGCTCTGAACTTCTGGGTAGTTACTTATACTCCCGCTCAGCCCCTCCCATCTTTATTACACTAGCTTCATCTTTCCCTTTGATCACTATTTCATCACTCAGTCATCATCGCCAACTTGGTCTTTGTTGTCCTTGAGCTTAATCTGGAAATGCAAAGCATTTGTAGAATAGTTGTCTCAACAGTTGAGTTTGAGGAGTGGTTTACTTTCTTTTTTTTTAATTTTAAATTTTATTTTGTACATGTAATCACTGTGAATTATTACAACATACCAAATGAATTTTCCCATTATGAATACACTGCATATTGGTCCAGTCAAAGAATTACCATAAACATTATAATCATATGAAGGTTCCTCTAAGACCTACAAATAGAACTACATATGATCCAGCAATTCCACTCCTGGGTATCTACCCAAAGGATTGGAAAATGCTCAGTCAGAAAAACATTTGCACATCCATGTTTATTGTGGTATACATTCTACGTGACATTAAATCTAGGGTCTAATATATATTAGTAACAATTGAGAAAGGAGTACCTGTAAGTGCTTTTTACTTAATGAAAAAGATTTCCCAGTTAATAACAGACTGCTATAGTTATTCTCAGATAATTGAGAGCACACTCTGACAAGAAAAAGAGCAGTAACAATGATAGCTAACATTTACTGAACACTTACTGACTCTTAGGTCCTGAGTTAAGTTCTTCATAGACTCATCAGTAGTGATTTTATGTTGGGTTATGTTCTGAGTGTAAAATTAATACACTTTATATCACTCTTTTAAAGTTTTTAAAATCTGTAATCTCATATGTCACAACAGTCCTAGAAAGAAGAGATAGAATTGATATCATTTTTTTTTTGATCTGTGGGTGACAGAATTGAAGCAATATTTAAGTAATTTCCCAAAGTCAAACATGGTGGAACATTAAAAATAGGATCTAGATCTTGAGACTGAATCATATCCTCTAGGCTTCAGCCAATCAACCAGAATGGATCTTGTGTATCTTTTAATTTCCTCACTCAAATTCCCTGAAGTGTGGATGAAAAATGGTCGTGGCACATAGTCTCCTAATCCTTAAAACAGAGACACATTGGGGAATAGGACTGGTTTATGGAATGAATTTATACCATCCATAGAACTTGTTTAATTTTCTCCAGTTTTACTTTGTGTGTGCGTGTATGTTGTACTTCTACAAAATTTCACCATGAGTAGGTTTAATGCATTTACCTCCATTTTCAATGTCACATTTTTATTTTAGCCATTTTGTAGGTAGACAGTAATATCTCATTGTGGTTTTAATGTTTATTTCCTCAATGACTAATGATTTTTAATGTTTTCATATACCTAATTGCCATATATATGTTCTCTTTGATGAAGTATCTAGTCTTTTGCCCATTTTCTCATTAGATTGTTTTTCGACTATTGAGTTTTTTTTTTTTTTTTGGAGAGATTTTCACTGTAGGGCGCGTGCGCTCGCCAGCCAGACAGAGAGAGACATAGAGACAGAAAGCGAGAAATCACCCCCCAGGGGGGATGGCCACGCTGCAATCCGCAATCCCTTCTCCTCCATTCTCCTCTCGGGATCTTGGGCACGCATGCACATGCGCCCGGCGTGAGTTTTAAGCCACCGGGTCCGGGACACGAACCGCGGTCGACTACGTGGGAGTCCAGCGACATAGCCATTACGCTAACTGCTGGTTCCCTCGACTATTGAGTTTTGAGAGTACTTTATATGAGTCTTTTGTCAGAGTTGAGATTTGCACTTATTATTTTCCTAGTCCATAGCTTGTTTTTAAATTGTCTTATAGTGTCTCTTGTTGAACAACAGTTTTTAATGTAGATGAGGTACAATTTATCAATTTTTTCTTTTATTACTTTGGTTTTGGTAGCAAGTCTAAGAACTTGTGTAGCCCTAGATCCTGAAGGTTTTCTCTTTTTAAAAATTATATACTTCATAGTTTTTTTATCTTATATTCCAGTCCATGATACATTTTAAATTAATTTTTGTGTAAGTTGTAAAGTTGATTTAGAGATTGTTTTGTTTTCATTGTTGCCTGTGGATGTTCAATTGTTCGAGCACTGTTTGTTGAATGACTATCTTTTCTTCACTGAGTTAGTATTATACCTTTGTCAAAATCAGCTGGGCACACTTGCATCTATTTAGAGATTTTAAATAGATGCATCTATTTAGAGATTTTAAATAGATGCATGTTCTATGATTTGTGTTTTGTCCCTCTACCAATACCGTATTGTCCTAATGACTGTGGCTATATAATAAGCCTTAATGTTGGATAGAAAGATTTGTGCCACTTTTATCACTCTTTTTCAAGATTGTTTGTTATTTCAGGGCCTGTGGCTCTTTATTTAATTTTTAAAATAAGCTTCTTTTGGTGATTATTAGCAATAAATCTTGCTGGGATTTTCATAGGAATTTTATTACATTTATAGATAAACCAGGGGAGAATTGACTTTTTTTTATTGTTTTCTAATTCTAAGCATGTTAGTTCTTTGATTTCTTTCATCAGCATTTTGTAATTTTCAGCATACAGATGTTGTACATATTTTAAGTATATACTAATTTTAAAAATTTTCTTCAGAATGATTGTAAATGGTATTGTATTTTCAAGTTTTGGTTCTGTATGTTCATTGTTAGTATATAGAAATGTGATTGATTTCGTGTTGGTCTTATATTTTGCAACCTTGCTGAACTCAGTTCTTTTAGAAATTTTTTTTTCTTTTTCTTTTCAGATTCCTTGGGATTTTCTATGTAGACAATCATGTCATCTACAAATAGGTACAGTATAGTAGTATTTCTTCCTTTCGATTCGTTTGTCTTTCATTTCTTTCCTTTGACCCTTTGTAGTACTAGGATTCACAGTATAATGAATAAGGATGATGCAAGTGGATGACGTTGCCTTGTTTCAGGTCTTAGATGGAAAACATTCAGTGATTCACCACTAAGTACAAAGTTAGCTGTAGGTTCTTGTAGAAGCTTTATATCAAGTTGAGGTAATTATCCTAACTTGCTGAGAGATTTTATTATGGGTGGATTTTGGATTTGTCAAATGTTTTCCAGACTCTGCTTGGATTTGCACAGTGAATTTTCCTCTTTAGTTTATTGATACAGTGAATTATGGTGACAGATTTAAAAATATTGAACCAGGCTTTCATGCCTAGAATAAACTACTTATAAATAGTGTATAATTCTTTTTTTAAAAAAATTTAATTTGAAATTTTTTGAGAGATTTTTGCCATAGGACGTGTGTGCTTGCTGGAGAGAGAGAGAGAAACAGACAGAAAGCAAGAAATCACACCCCAGGGGGTATTGCCACGCTGCAGTACCTTCTTCTCCATTCTCCTCTCAGGACCTTGGGCATGCATGCACATGTGCCTGGAGTGAGTTTGAAGCCTCTGTGTCTGGAACTCAAACTTCAGTCGACTATGTGGGAGTCCAGCGATGTAACCATTAAGCCATCTGCTGATTCCTGTGTATAATTCTTTTTATATGTTGCTAAATTTTATTTTCTCATATTTGCTGAGAATTTTTATGTTTCAGTTCATGAAAGATATTGTTCTACAGTTTTCTTTTTAAACTCTCTTTGTATGGGGGCCAGCAGGTGGTAGAGTGGTGAAGGCACTGGGCTCCCATAAGGTCGACCATGATTTGAGTCCCAGACCCAGTGACTTGAAACTCATGCCAGGCATGGGTGCTTACGTGTCCAAAAGTCCCAGGGGAGAATGGAGGAGAAGGGATTGTGGGGTGGCTGTCCTTCCATACGGGGTAATTTCTGGCTTTCTGTCTCTTTCTCTCTCTGTTTCTTTGGTAAGTGCATGTGCCCTATAGCAAAACTCTTAAAAACAAAACAACAACAAAAAACCCCTTTCTTTGTGTGGTTTTAGTTATCAAGGTAATGCTGATATCATAAAAATAGATCAGAAGTATCCTCTTTTATTTTTTAGAAGAGTCTATTTTTTATGAGTCAAACATTTATACATATTACAAATTTAATTTTTTAATTGTTATTAGAGTTTTAGATGGTCAGTTTCATCTTGTTTGATTTTTGGTAATTGTGGTTTTTAAGATGTGCATTCTCACTGCAATGAATGTGAGTTCTTGCTGTTCTATATTCATGCTGGATTTTGGTGTTGTCAGTGTTTTAGGCTTTAGGCACCCTAATAGGTAGGTAGTTATATCTTGTTTTAGTCTGCAGTTACTAATGACACACAATATTGGCCATCTTTTCATATGCTTATTTACTACTGTTTGTTTTCTTCGGTGAGGTGTCTGTTAATGTCTTTAGCTTATTTTAAAAATTGGATTGCTTACTTTTTGTTGTTGTTAAGAGTTCTTGGAATACCTGATATACCAGTTCTTTATCAGATATGTATTTTGCAAATATTTTCTCCGAGTCTGGCTTGTCTTTTAATTCTTAGTAGTTTTTTTTACAGACTACTTTAATTTTAATAGAGACCAACTTATACATATTTTTCTTTTATGAAACATGTTTTGGCTATTGTATCTAAAAACTCGTTGTCAAACCCTAGATTACTTAGGCTTTCTCCTATTCTAAAAGTTTTGTAGTTTTGTGCTTTATATAAAAGCATAATCCATTTTGAGTTAATTTTTATAAAATGTGTAAGGTATATGTTTAAGATTTATTTCTTTGCAGGCGGATGTTCAGTTGTTTCAGCACCATTTGTTGAAATGACATTTCTTCATCGAATTGCCTTTGATCATTTGTCAAAAGTCAGTTGATGGTATTTGTGTGGGTCTATTTCAGGGTCTCAATTCTGTATTATTGATCTATTTGTCTAATATTTCACCAATAGTATCTTGTCTTAGTCACTGTTATGTCCTAGACTGTCATTGTATTACTAACAAATACCTGAGAATGGGTGATTTATAAAGAAGGTAGAGATTTATTTACAAAACTCACAATTAGTGACTGGAAAGTCCAAAGGCAGAAATTTAAATGAGCAGTGTAGTCTGTGTCATGTGGCATGTGGTTTCTGCCTACCTCATTTCCTGCCCTTAGATCAGAACTCAATCATGGGAACCCCACCCTAATGACTGTATCACACCCAAGGATTCCTGGGACACCATAAAGGGATTAAGTTTTCATGAACATCTTTATAACATTCCAACACAGGAATTTCTAGGGCAACATTCAGTTACTGCCCAGTAAGACCAAATTCCAAAAGGTGAATCTTTGGGGGACAAACTATTATCCAAATAATAACACTGGAACTTAACAAGAAGTCTTGAAATCAGGTAGCATTAGTCCCAAACTTGGTTCTTTTTCTAGTATTGTGTTGGTTGGATATTTTGCCTGTTCATATAAACTTTGAAAGTAGTTTGTCCCCACTTAAAATATACTGAATGTCTGCACTCTGTGGCAGAAACTGAAAGACTGGCTGGTATAGAGGGATGAAGTGCAACTATGGATTCTAGATACAGTGTGGCAGGAGGGTGGGCAATGGGGGCTGGAGTGGGAGGGAGGGAATCCAGCAGAATGGGAAACAAAACATTTAAGGGACACAAAAATGGAAAATTTTCTGTCGATGATAATGTGTATGGGAATATTTTTGGACCAACATACAGTGTATTCATAATGGGAGAATTCTTTGGTATGCTGTAATGATACACAGTGATTTAATTAAACAAACAGTTTTTCAATATCAGCAAAATAGCTTGCTGATATTTGATTTGAATTGCATGAATCTATTTAAGAAGTGGAGAAGAACTGACATCTTAACAATATTGGGCCTTGCTATCTACAAGTAGCTGGAATAGCTCTCTATTTATTTAGATTATTTTTATTTCTTTCATCAGGGTTTTGCAGTTTTCCTCATAGAGATTTTTTATGCTCATTATATATATATATTTTTTTTTGAGAGGTTTTTGCTGTAGGATGTGTGCGCTTGCCAGACAGACAGAGAGAGACAGAGAGACAGAAAGTGAGAAATCACCCCTCCAGGGGGAATGGCCACGCCGCAATCCCTTCTCCTCCATTCTCCTCTCGGGATCTTGGGGACGCACGTACACGCGCCTGGTGTGAGTTTTAAGCCACCGAGTCTGGGATTCGAACGGCGGTCCACTATGTGGGAGTCCAGTGACATAGCCATTACACTAACTGCTGGTCCCCTGTACTCATTACATTGATTCATCCATTACTTTTTCTCGTATATTTCTCTTTGTGGTTACATCAGCTTTTTCTTCACTATTTTGATGCCATATTGTTAGATGCATTCACATTAAGGATTATTACATATTCTAGGAGAATATGTAATATGTAATGCCCCTTTATATTTTTGATAATTTTCCCTGCTCTGAAGTCTACTTTACCTAAAGATCTATCATATTTGTAACTTTTCTATTTGTATTTGTTCTGCTTACTTGTTTTTTGTCCTTGTCTTTGACTTTGAACATTTAAAAAATTTCATTCTTAGTATATCAGCAATTGCTCAGTTAATTTTTTTGGGTTTAAAATTTTAAATTCTGTACTGTAATTTCTTTTATTGTCTTTTTTTTTTTTTTTACATTTTCTGTTTTATTTTTTAGATTTTCTTTTTTATTTTTCCAACTTGCCAGAGGGTGCATGTGTTTACTGGTGGCAAGGAGGTAGGTGGTGGAGGGGGGTAGTAAAGGAAAGTGAGAAAGTCTCCCTCACCCCACCATGGAGGCTGGTCATACTGCTATCTCTCTTCCTCCTTTTGGGATTTTGGTCATGCACACACATATCCCTACCAAGTTTTCCAAGCTGCCTGGTCCAGGACTTGGACTGTGCAGTCTGCCATGTGGTTTTAACTACAGTGCCACTGATTGGCCCACATTTTCTAATTTTAAAAACTTTGTTTCAAGAGTATTCAGTTTAGTTATTGAAGTGTTGTTATGAATGCTGCTGTAAAATTCTTTTCAGCTAGTTTTCTATCATTTTAGTCGATTAGGGTTGACATCTGCTGGTTGCCTTTCTCCTTTAACTCCCAGGTGTTTCATTTGTTAGTAAAGACACCAAGGGTTAAACCATCTCCTCCACTTAGGATACTTGAATTCCAGTAACTGGTCCTGTGGGGATTCTGATTGCTCCTCAGTGAGTGATAATGATTGCATGCTGTTTCTTACCATAACTGTTAAGATTAGTCCACTTCACTCCAGGGCTAGTAGGTTAGGACTTCACAGACCTTTTAAGAATTCTACAAAACTGGTGCTGGACAGGGATTACTAGGAGTATGAAGGTGAAAGGGAGCTCAGCTACTCAGATGATACTTCCTTAAGGGACATATCTAGGAAGGAAAAATAAATTTGGTATAATGTAATATTTTACACATTGTAAAAATAGTTTCTCATACTTGCTCTCAATGATTTTAACATCCATCCAAAGTGTTAGGTGGGACTGTATTTCATTTTCAGTGCTGTATAATTTTTCAATGTAAATATCACACAATGTGTTTATTCTTTTCTTGACATATATTTATTTATAGTTTTGTGCTATTTTGAAGAGGGCTACTGTAAACATACCTGTACCACATATTTTGGAACGTATTCTTGTGTATTTTCTAGATACATGCATATTAAAGTATATGCATTGGTGTGTACCTGCAAGCATATCTCCTGGTATATGCCTCCAGAATAATTAAGAGTGGAATTGCTGGGCTGTCAAGTGCGTTCACTTTTATATCCCATTCAGTAATCTGTGAGTTTCTCAAACGTTGGGTATTTGTCAGACTTTTTACTCTGTTGAAAATTTAGTGTCAAATTATTATGCCCTTAATTTTATTACTTCATTAATAGTTATGATTAGTTTTTCTTTTTCTTTTCCTCCTCCATTTTTTGCCAATGTCTCTTATGGGAAACACTTTTGCATGATTTGTGAATGCTTTGTATATTTAATTTTTTAAAGATTTTTTTGGTTTCTACAAATGCTGTAAATATTACTCTTTTGCCAGTTATATTCATTATAATTATTTTAATTAGTGGCTTGATCTTCTCTTTATAGTGTATTTTGAGAGCTCTTAACTTAAATATAATTTAACCGAATGCTTGAATTATTCATCTACTCCCTGGGATTGGTGTGTGTGTGTGTGTGCGTGTGTGTGTATCCTAAGGGTGATTGTAGCTAATGTTTGATTAGCTACTTAAGAAGCGTGGTGAAGTCTATGAGTAGTTTGCCTGAGAGTTTTCATACATGGCAACTTAATACACATTTGGCGCTATGCATGCATTCATGAACACACACACTTTCACCCAAAGTTTTGTTTTGCACACAACAGTTTGTCACTCCAAAAATGTATTCTCTACATATTTTTATTAATCCATGATTGATTATACTGATTTTGAGCTAAAGCATGTTCATTTAATATTATTAATAAGCATTTAAGAAATTTCAATGTGCGAAATACGAAACACAGCTTTGTTTAGTCCTATACTATGAAACACTGGGATTCTCTTTAAGTTGCTATGGTATTGATATAAACCACCTACCTTTTATTTTTACAAAGCATCACAGGACCAATATAATTCTTTCTTTTAAGAATGTCAGAGGCAATGTGGGAAGTGCTTAGAGTATATAGAGGAGGGGTGTGGGAAATTGTAACCATTAGTAATTTTAGTGGTTTCAACAAATTTTGTCTTTTTCTGCCTGGTTAATTCATATTCCACATTGCTAGAGACATTCTTACCTATTTTATGCCAGATGTGTTGTCCTTAGCCAACTGAGCTGATTGTGACCTACTCTGACCCTGTTCTCATTCTGTAATTTTTTTCCTCACCTCATAGATCTCACAGTCTGCATTCCATTGCAGTTGTTGCTTTAGACTGAGTCATGCTTTTAATTTTAAATTTTTTTCACTATTGGGCCACCAGTTCTTCAGTTATTGGTCTTGCTAACTTTTCCACATCTTTTGGCCTTGAGTTTTCTTGGTATGAATTCCCTTCTACATTTCATCTCATAACCCCATGTGAAAAAGGAAAGGGGAAATCAGTCTATCATCTATCTGTCTGTGTCTGTAATGTTGAGCAGTTTATCAGACTACTGATTTTCAGAGAATGTGGGTGCTTTTCTAACTGTCCTGCCACTTTATCCTAAACTCCAATCCTGTGTATGATTCCAAAGCTTTTAGTTCCTTGACCATTTTTATTTGGTCTACCAAGAATTTCAGATGGGATGTGTTCTGCCTCCTCTTGCTATCATGCCCACCTCCTTGTCCTGACATGCTCAGCATCACTGCCCAGACTCCCTGCCTGGTTCCTTTTTCTGTTTACATGGGTTAGAGATATGTTCCATGCCCTTCCCTTTAGCCTATACACATTGCATAGGAACACTTTCAGTGCTCTAAGTGGAGGACAAATCAGTGCATACTGACATGTTGGCTCTGTTTTCAACTGGATGGTTCTTCTCTGGACTCCTGTTCTCATCTTGTCTCTCCACTTTATGATTCAATGTCCAACCCTCAACTCAAGTGGAGGGGGTCACCTTTCATGAGCCTGTAGGATATATCTATGGATTATATCAAATTTCCCTTCTAAACTCATATATATATATGCGCGCGCGCGCACACATACACACACACACACACACACACACACACACACACACACACACACACCCCTCTCCCCCCCTTCGTGGGAGGGTCTCTATCCCTGC